CCCAAATGGGGTCCCGACCCACAGGTTGAGAACCACTGCTTTAGGGCTCTCTGTTTGTTTAAGCCAGGGGTCTTCAAACTTGGCCCTTTGATGACTTGTGGGCTTCAACTCCCAGAATTCCTCAGCCAGGCACGCGTGCCTGGCTGAGGAATTCTGGGAGTTGAAGCCCACAAGTCATCAAAGGGCCAAGTTTGAAGACCCCAGGTTGAAGCTGTGGAAAGTCACTGCAGAAAGCAAGTAGCAGGTGAGAACGGGCACAGAAAGTAACTCTCGGGAACTAAAGCTGCTAAAATAAAAGCTCCTTATGCCATATCTGTTATCGGACGTTGGCGATCACGTTGGCGATCCTGTTTTTATCAGCAGCCGCACGAAAAAGTGCTGCGGAGTTTTGTCCCAACCGGTCCTTAGATTTTGAAGCCATGATGTTCTCCTTCTGCCTGGACCTCGTTGGCCTTCCATCTTTCCCTGGAGGGTTAAATGGAGTAGGCCGTATTTTTCTGGGTGTCGCATCACCTGTCCGAAATATTCTCATTTTCGTTTTTTAATTGTTTTGATGATTTCCCTGGGCTTTCCCAGGCGGCTGATCCCCTCCTCGTTTCTGGTCTTGTCGACCCAGCTTATACTAAATCCATATTTCAAATGCTTCCAGTCTCTTCAGGTGGCCTTCTGTCAGAGACCGACTCTACTCCATAGAGCAGGATAGCCACTAAGTTTTTTTCGTGGATGTAAGAGGCATAATTTGTAGGGTAGGCTGGAATTTCTGTACGGACTGTTGCCAATGTAAGGCGACAAGGGCCAGTTGGGTCTAGTGGTTAAAGCACCAGGCTAGAAATTAGGAGATGGTGAGTTCTGCTTCAGCCATGAAAGCCAGCCCAACCCACCTCACAGGGTTGTGGTTGTGGGGGGAAAAAGAAGAGGAGGAAGGAGTATTTGCCAAGTTCTCTGTTGTTGTTTATGAAAATAATAAAGGAGGATATTTAAAAAAAAACCAACCATCTGCATTGGACATAGCAATTGATGCCTATGCTTATATTGAGGGGGTTTTCTACTCCCAGGTGTTTATTCTTGTTTAACTATCTTTAGCATTTTTAATTTCCATGTGTGTGTGTGTGTTTTATGGATGAAAGCACTGTTTAGCACTGTGGTTAAACTCTTCTGTTTCACCCTAAGAGCTTCTGTTATCTTCGTAGTCCAGGTAAAGTGACTGTTTTCAGTTGTAGATATCATAAACCGTCATCTGTGGCCTTTAGACGGGAACAATCTCCTGTGTTCTTACCAGATCTCTCAACACCAAGTAGCACAACCATCTGTATCAGGAGGCAGATGCAGAGGGGCACAAGGTAGCTCTAGGGATATTGTTAATTAGCTTCCGTTACTGTTTTCGTTGACAGAATTTAGCCTAAGTAAGTGGGAGCACCTAGTAGCTTCAGGAAATCTTTTTAAAAAAGGCTAAACGAGGTTGGATCTGATTAATATTTGGATGGGAGACCACTGAGAAATGCAGAGCTATCTTAACATTTGAAGCATCCTGGAAAAAGGAAGTCACAAATCACTTCTGCATTGCTGCCAAGAACATAAAATGGAATCTCCTGGAAGTCCCTAGTAATTGAGCTTGATTGAAGGAAATTTGGGGTGGCGTGGAGACGTGGAATAGAAAAAGTAGCACTCAGCCATCTTGCAGGACATTCACCTCTAATTTGAAGGCTTCCTCTTGGCCACACCGTCCTCTTGTGTGTGATTTGCCAATGATGCTCCTTCCTTCCTTCCTTCCACCCACCCACCTTCCCTAACAGAATGGGTCCTTCTTTCCTTCTTTCCTTCCTTCCTTCCTTCCATCCATCCATCCATCCATCCAT